AGTAGCAATGGCCCCTGTTTCATTTCTGACAATAGTAGCCTGTGTCTTTGCTCTCTCTTTCTTGGACAAGGTGGCAACAAAAATCTCTTTTTTTGATCTTTTCAAGGAATCAGCCTTTTATTTCATTGATTTTTCCCTATGCTTTCTAATTCATAATTTTATTGATATCTGCTCCAATGTTTATTTCTTTTCTTTTGCTCAGTTTGAATTTAATTTGCTTTTCTCTTTCTAGCTTCCTATAATTATTGATTTTTAGGTCTTCTTTTCTAATAGTTTCATTCAATGCTTTAACTTATATTTGTTCTTGAGATTCTTGAGTGAATTTTTCAATTCAGTTTTGGATTTCTTGAGTTTCTATTTGGCTTTCTTATCGAATTTCCATCTCTTCATTTATATTGTCTATTTGATGAGATGGTAGTCATGATTCCCTTTAGTTCTTTGCCCATGGTCTCCTTAGCTCTTGGAGAATGTGTCAAGTAGTTGACTTAACAAGTCTTTTCCGGGGCCTCCCTGGTGGCACAAGGAGTTAAGACGCAACCTATGAAGCTGTCTGCAGCCTCTGCAGCACAGGTTCGATCCCCGGCCAGCCAGGGAGCTACGCACATGGCGAGGCAGACCTCTCCTGCCTCGGAGGCTGCTCCCCTCTGCAGTGTACTTCAGTCAATCTGCCTGTTCTGTTCCCCACTCTGCCTCTGGTGAATCCTCTCACCCCCAGTACCTCTGGCCTGTACCCCAGCTCTTGTATGCATAAATAAATAAATCTTTAAAAAAAAAAGTCTTTTCTAATAAGTACAATCTCTGGACTACCTTAGTATCAGTTTCTATTCATTTCTTTTTTTTTTTTTTCTAATGCTTGGGTCATCTTTCTTATTTTTTTGTATTTGTCTTAGTTTTATGTTGAAAATTGGACATTCTGAATATTATAATGCAGGAGTTGTGGAAAAAAATTCACCCCCTAATACCAGTTCTGCTGCTTGTTGTAGTTATTTGTCTGGTGACTTTCTGAATGAATTTTGTAAAGCCTGTATTCTTTGTTTTGTATGGTCACTGAGGTCACACTGAGTGGTCAATTAGTGATGCAACAAAGATTCTCTTAAATGCCAGGGGAAAATATTTCCCCATCTTTGCAGATGGGCTGTTTGTGTATTAGGGCATGACTTCAATACTCAGTTTACAACTCTACCTTAGCTTTCACATCGGGCTCATACAGAAGTGATAAAAGGTCTACTTCCCCCCCCACCCCGTTCAGTATTAGGTACCTGTAGGGTGAACATGGGTTTCTGTCTCAGGGCCACCACCTAGTGGGGAATGGGATGAGACTAAGCTACAAGGCCACTAAAGTCTTTCTGAAATTCAACTGGTTTTCTAGATTAAGAATGCCCCTGGCTGCTGTCAGCTTTTGGTTAATTCACAGCATTCCTAAGAAACTGATTCTGACCTTTTTTTGCCAGTTAATTTATTGCTTTTGTGGGAAACAGATTTTGGTGGTCCCTACAGCATGTGCTTTTCATTTTTGCTTTTAACCTACACGTTTCTATCTTTAAGAGGATTTCTTGTAGTCGGCAGATAGATGGATCTTATTTTTTTAATCCACACTCATAATCTCTGTCTTTTAATTTGTATATTTAGAGCATTAGTATTTAAGTTATGATTGCCATACTGGACAATACAGCTGTTTTCCAATCATTGCCCTTTTTCTTTGTTTTTTATTTTTCACCCACTCTTTTACTGCTTTTGGGGTTTCAATTTACATTTTATATAATCTGACTTTATCTCTTAGTGTATCATTATGCTTTTTAAAATAAAATTTTAATGGTTTCCCCAGAATTTGCAATATGCATTAACAACTAAATTAAGTCTTCTTTCAAATAACATTATATTGTTTTATGGATAGTACAGATAGCTTATAACAGATTATTAGAGTATAAAATTATCCTTTCACTTACCCATATGCTATAATCCTCCAATAGATGGTAACTTGTGTTACTTTGAACAAGTATTTATTAATGAAAAATAAAAACAAAAACTTAACTTTGCCTTCATTATGCTCTTCAATGATTTGTTCTTTTTTAAATGTAGATCAGAATTTCCATTTTCCCTCTCCTTAAGAAACCTCTTAACATTTCTTACATGTCAGGACTGCTGGCAATAAATTACTTTCAAAATTTTATGCCTTCAGGAGTTTCTTTCCTTATAGGGTATTGATAAGTTCTAGGGGGAGATTTTTAAGGCATCTATTTGAATCTTGATGAGAGGCACACTGTGAATTTTGCCAACATCAGTAGGAGAAATTGCCCATAAGGAGGATGGTCTCTGATAGGGACAAATGATCTGTGTCCCCAGAATCATCAAATGATCTGTGTCCTCTGATATCATCAGAGACAAGGCAAATAAAAGATGCTGAAGCATCATTTAATTTGGTCAACTATTTTGATAGTTTCTGTCACTTTCTAGAATTATTTCCCCCTTTCGAGAGAAAGAGATGCCAACGTGATATTTTTCTAAGAAACCTTGACCTCATAAATGAATAAGAGTTAAGGAATGAAGGCAGAGGGATGAGAAGGAGGGTCAATGGGGAAGGATGCTTCAGTGAAGAAGCAGAATGGGGGGCCAGGGGGTACTGAGGGACTGGAGGGGAGGAAGGTGGTGCAGGAGAGGATAAAGATGGCACCAGAAGTGGAGCATGAGCATATGGTTTCTGCTACTGGACAAAAAAGAGGAAAAGGCAGGGGAAGAGAAGAGTTGGAAGCAGCTTTATCTTTCCTTAACTGCATGTTTACTTCAGTGAATTTTAAAATTTTATTTTGCAAAGAGACAATTTTAGATTCCTGGTAATATCTGGCTGTATCCAGATACCAATCAAAATAGTTGTAGCAAGTTTGTTACAGGATGCATTGCCTGTGGCAGGGGAAGGACCTAGCTTGCAGCCAACATCTTAGATGCTTTGGACTATAATTCCCAGTATGCCATGGATCAGACTCCCTGAATGGGTGCTGCTGGAAGGAGGGAGCAACTAGGCTGATCTGTGTTGGTGCGGAAAGAAGAGGAGAGAGACAGGGGTGGGGAAGTGGTTCCTGGGCCAGCTTTAGTGCCTTGGCAGGCGAGTTCTTCAAAGACATGATTCCACTTATATGGTGCATCTTGGCCTCCTTCTGTCCCAGTTCTCTGGGACCTGCCTGACCCCTCGCTTGTTGGTCCTGATGCTATGTGCCTTGTACTCACTCTCCTGGCTACCATACTCTGGCCCAGCCTCTTTGGCATTTGACCAGGAATGGATGGGTGATTTCACAGTTTGACCAGAAGTCTGTTATTTGAAATCTTTCTCTTCTCTCTACCCTTTGAATTTCTCACCATCCTTAAGGGGCTAAGAGTCTGCTTTCTTTGCCTTTATGTGCACAGGCTGCACAGACCCTTAAAATGGGCAACATGGATTTTCCCCTTAACAGTGTGGGGTCCCTGAGTGCCTCTTGCTTTTGCCTGGTCTGGTTTTTCACTCCCTGACTGGAAACGAAAATGAACCTTACAATAATTTCAGGCCCGAGGCTGTCCAATTCAGTTTTGTTTTGTTTTGTTTTTAAGTTCACTTTATTAAAAATAAAATTTATTTATTTGTAGAAGAACTGAGGTATAGGCTAGAGGTGGGGGGTTGTTTTTGAGAGGATTCACCAGAGACAGAGTGGGGAGCAGAACAGGTGGATTGACTAAAATACACTGCTGAGGGGAGCAGCAGGCAAGACAGGAGAGGTCTGCTGCGCCATGTGGGTCACCTCCCTGGCTGGGGATCGAACTCAGGCCACAATGGCTGATGATAGCTTGACAGCGCTGAGACTTTAAACCCTGCGCCACCAGGGAGGCCCCCTGTCCAATTCAGTTTTAAGTAAGCTTGGGGAGGTTGAAAGTTCCCCATAAAGGCCTCGGGAATTTTAAAACTACTTTTAGTTAATTTGGTCCACTTAGAAGTATGTGTGAAGAAGGACTCTGGTTCAGATACATGAAGCTAGCACAGCAGGGTTTCTGAGGAAGAAATGTCCTTAAAGCATTTTGATAACTGGGATCCCTTTTTCTCTTATTAGTAGAGCCCAGAATTCCTAAACAGAATGGTAGGAAGCCCTTATTCCAAAAGGGAATCAGGTTAAAGGCCCGCTCAAGAACTTAGACTCAACAGTACAATTGTCAATAAGGAAACAGCTGTTTTCCAACACCCTGCTGCTAACTGGAGCTCAGACTTGCCACAACCCCAGGTTGGAACAGTCTATCCCCCAAGGGTCGGATCAAAGTTTAACAGAGATATAATGAGAATGAGCTAATTTCAGAATTTGCTAATGGCCCATATGGTTCCAGTGAGACAGTCCAACCTCCTGTTGCCGCCTGAGCGCCACAGAGTGATACCCCCAGATTTTAAAAAAAGGCCTTAGATAAAAAGAAAAATCTCCAAATACCCATTCTGGAGAGCTTACTGCAATGGCAGACCTCAGATGCAAGGGAAGACTTACCCTAGATCCCAGGATAAGAGAGAACCCGGCAGGCTCGATGGACACCAGCACCTGCTTCCCCACCAGCCTCAGTGTCATTGACTTGCCCGTGTGTTTACCTCAAACAGAAAGCAACTGATTTCACCAACAAAATGGATTTACTTGGAAACTATAAAAAAAACATTTTGGGTACGAACACTCTCTTGACAAAATTTGGTCTCCTCTATGAAGCTGTCCGTAGCCTCTGTAGCACGAGTTCGATCCCCGGCCGGCCAGGGAGCTACCCACATGGTGTGGCAGACCTCTCCTGTCTCGCCCGCTGCTCCCCTCAGCAGTGTGTTTCATCAGTCTGCCTGTTCTGTTCCCCGCTCTGTCTCTGGTGAATCCTCTCCCCGCAACACACACACCTCTGGCCTGTACCCCAGCCAGCTCTTGTATGCATAAATAAATAAATCTTTAAAAATAAAATAAATTTTAAAAATTTAAAAAATTAAAAAAAATTAAAAACAAACAAACAAACAAACAAACCTTGTTTTCCTCAAAGACCAGGACTCCCTCAGCAATCCTGGGGAAGGGCTGCTCCTTGGGGGGGGGGGGGAATGCATCGTCACTTCCTGTGGCAGATGCAAGGCATGCTGGGTCCTGTAGTTTGCTGATTATGCACGTAGAGGGAATCCCTTTTGGCCTCTTGGACTCACTGATTTTAATTTTCACTTCTTTTACCCCATAGGCTTGCTTCTCTCATAACTCGAAGAAAACTCATTGGTTTTCCGTTTGTTCATTTTTCTTTTTCTGTTGCGAGGAAGGGAATGATGTCCAAGCTTCTGTGTTATAGCTGAAACTGGAAGTCATTTAGTGATACTGAAATAATATGCATGTATACTTCAAATGATACAATTTTTTATTACCTACTCTTTAAGAAACATTGCATTCTACATGGAAATTTATTTGTAAATGTTGTTATACAGTGGCTCACAGACATTCAGGATCAGCTACACACATTGGTTTTCTCACATTTTCTTTTCAAGAGAAAGTTTTAACAATTTGAGATTGTTCCAGCTAACTTTGCATGCAGTTCTTGTCTCCAATTGCTGTGGTGCTTTATAATCTAGCAATTAAACAGTATAATTGAAATAAACAAAAGTAGCACCATGGTTACAAATTTAAGTTACTTCAACTGTCACTTCATGCAACCAATTAAGGTTTTTTATTTTGTTTAAAATTTAAAACAATGAGACAGTGCAGATTTCAAATGTAAGTAATCTTTTTGTTTATAAAGTGCAGATCTTAGAGTCATATGGAATATTTTACTAAATTTGAGAGTATTTTTGAAATTGAAATTCTATCTTCTTTTTAAATTTGTGTTTCAAATCTAAATAAAAATAAAATTATAATTACTTTAAATCATTATTGAAATAATTTTATCACATAAAGAGAGAAAAGATCTACTCAGAGTGTTCAAGGGCAGTGTTACACCAGTGATTCAGAGCTTGCCTGACTCCAAAAGTCATGTTGTCAGTCAGGGCAGTTATGGGAAGGAAAGAGAAGCAGAAAGAGGAGGTGCCAGGTGATGAGTGATAAAGGGAGTTTGCTGGTACCCAAGTTTGGCTCCACAGAATAAGAGGGTTTGTCAGATTGCAAAGTGGACTGATAACAGTGCTCTGAATTTTGAGAAGGAGGCAGAATAATAGCAAAGTTTTAGGCAGAAAAAACAAATTTCTTACAAAGGAATAAAAAATGACTTCTGACTTCTCATTTGCAATATTAGAAACTAGAAGATAAGCTATTGAAAGAAAATGATGCATGCACAAGAATTCAGGGCTCGTATTAGAGTATATCACTTAGGGGCCTCCCCGGTGGCGCAGTGGTTGAGCGCTGGGTTGCAAAGCTGCCCGCGGCCTCCGTGGCGCAGGTTCGATCCCCGGCTGCTCCGCGGCCACCGGAGGAGGGTCCCACATGGCGCGCAGACCTCTCCTGCCGCCCGCTGCTCCCCTCAGCAGTGTGCTTCGGTCCTTCTGCCTGCTCTGCTCCCTGCTCTGGCTCTGGTGAATTCTCTCACCCTCCTGCGCTCTGACTGTACCCAGTGCATGTATAAAAACAAAAAACAAACAAATAAATAAATAAAACATGCCTCTATAAAAAAAAAATAGAGTATATCACTTATCTGAAACATTGGGTATAGGTAATCTTTATTCCAAGAATGGAAAAAAATGGATTAATATCAGGAAACCAAAAGGAGAAAACACATATGGTTTCGTTAATATATACTGAAAAGGCAGTTAACCAAATTTCTAAGCTGTTCTTACTAGAAATTCAGGAAGCAAGGGAAATGATTTAATGAAAACTTTCATCCAAAATTAATAAAAAATACTTTCTTCAACTGAAATATACTAACATCATTTTAATCAGAATTAGTAACTAGAGGGCCTCCCCGGTGGCGCAGCAGGTTGAGCACAGTGCTGTGAAGCTGTCTGCAGCCTCCACAGGACCAGTTCAGTTCCCGGCTGGCCAGGGAGATTCCCACATGGCGCTGCAGGCCTCTCCTGTCTCACCCGCTGCTCCCCTCAGAAGTGTCTTCGGTCCATCTGCCTGTTTTACTCCCCGCTCTGTCTCTGGTGAATCCTCTCATTCTCCCGCTCCTCTGTACCCCAGTTCTTGTATAGATAAATAAATCTAAAAAAATAAAAAATAGTAACTAGAGAGGTGTGCTCAGTCTCCTATTTAACATGGTCCTGGAGGTTGTGTGAGCGCATTTAAAAGACCATGGCAGAATTTGAAGAAAAGAATAAAATGATCTGTTTAGTGTGATATTGTTGGGCTGTGGAGGAGTCTTGGTTTCCTCTGAGAAAGAGTTCTGCAGAGTCTGCATTCAGTGGCATAAGGCAAATTTAAGGAAAAGGGTGTTTTGCATAGACACTAGCCGGCAACAAGCAGTTTTTAGGGCAAGAACTGCATTTTAAAAGAGCAGGGGTGGCCTTGTACATTGTTCTTGGTGGAATTTCTCACTTTGAGATTGGGCTGGTTTTTTGTCATGCTCCTTAATCATTTCTACTCCCATCTCCAGTTCCTGGTCTTTTGAAGCTTCCACCTAACAGTTAATGCTCTAAGTTTCCATGAACATAATTGTAGACAGAAAACTCAAGAAAACTATTAAACAGGCAAAGAAATAGAGATAGTAAGTAGATGAGTATTTGCCCCAGGTTGGAAATATTAATAGGAGTAAATGCAAATGGGATTGTGCAGATATTTGCACAACTCTGTAAATTTACTAAAAATCATTGAATTATACACTTAAATGAGGGCAATTTTTGGTATGCAAATTGTGTCTCCATGAAGCTGTTAAAAATACTTCTACAGTAAATAAGAAAACTGATTTCCCCCTGTCTAGTATTGTTTTGGTTAATTGTCTAATCCAAGAAGAACCCAGAGGAATGGGGGTGTGGCCATGCACCCCAACATTAAAAGCAAACTAATGGAAATCCTGCAAGAAAGACAGTAAGATTATATAAACATTCTAGAAGGCAGGAGAGAACCTCTTAACTAAATCTGGAAACCAAGAAGTTGTTTTAAAAAGAAAGATATTGAGAAATATTAAAAAAAAAAAAAAGGAAAGATGGCATCAACGAAGTCATCAGACAATGGTAGGTTTGGGCAAATATTTCTGTATTATGCAGAAAATGAAGCTAATGTGTAAGATACAACATTTTCACAAAGTGATAAGGATAAAGAAAATGAGTAAAAGAATGATATATATTGATAGATTAGCAAATTCAAAAGGCCACAAAGCATATATAAAGATGGTTAAATATATTAGTAGATATGAGATTGAGTAACGTCTATTAAACATCAATTACAACTTCAGATTGTACATATGTGAATACAGGTACAGATAGACTTAATTGCAACACTGTTGATAGTGGCAGAAGACCAACAAATCTAGAAACAATCTGTATGTCTATGAGAAGAATGGTTGAAAATGTGGCATTGCCACAACAGGGTTTATTATGCCTTGATTTTAAAGAACTGGATTGGAACTGGAACAGTTGCCTCGAAAGGTTTCTCCAACGTATTGTTGAGTGGGAAGCAAGATGCCAAAAAAATACATATACTTTGATCTCATTTCTGAAAAATGAGTAATGATAAGATTACACACACACATTCCGTGCGCATGTACATGCAAGTACACAGACGTCTCTACCTAGGTTGTTTTATTTGGGGAGCATGCCGGGTATCATTTAATAGTTGAAACTTACTCTGCACTTAGCTCAGCTGAACAATGCTGGGAGACACAAGACAGACAAGAAAGGGAAACCGAGAGAGTTGCCATGGGAACCTGACCACAGGTCCACATGACCAACAGGGAGCCATGGAGAATTCTGGGGCAAACAGAACCAGGCAGGGCACCACCTGTGCAGAAGCCCACCTAAACCTGATGTCCCAGCAGATAGCAACTGGCAGAGACTGTCGTGGTATCATTACTAAGACTGAAAACTAAGCTCCCACTCACTCCATGCCCAGCAAGCAAGTTTGGGAGGTTTGAATGGATCAAGGGAGTGGATGGGACAGCTATGGCAACCGGGCCATTTAGCTGATGATTCGCTAAGATGATCTATTATGCAAATGCCATAAAGACTAGTTACCCTAAACAATCTTTGATGCTGGAATATGAACAGAGCCTCGGAACACTAACTTTGGCCTATCCCCAATTCTCCCCCCACGACACTCCCCTTCAGCTACCAGGAGGCTCAATGCAAATGTTCTCATTTCCTTCAGGCTTGGCTTCTGGTGAGGTTATGCAGGTGGGAAGAGGGGATCCGAGACATTTTACATCTCAGGAAGAAGGACTGAAAGAGACCAAAGAAAAGAGAGGCGGAGATTCTGTGCTGTGGTTGTGAGCTGGAAGTTGGCCCGTCCCTGCCTACCTCACTTAGAGGCCAGGGAAGTGTGTGCCCTTTTGCTTACTATAGATAAACCTCTCAAAACTCCTGAAGAATCTTGTAGAAAAACACTAAATCTCTAACTGGCACCTCCACAGCATCATCCTGAGGGGTGAAGGGCTTTCTCCGATACCCCTCAAAGGCCCATTCTCAGGACTCTGAGGATTGGGGTGCTAAATACCACCAGGTCGCTCTCCTCCTGAGCTGTCCACAGACCAGGCCTCAGGACTTGGGGATGGCCTGCAGCCTGGCCAGAGGGGGGCAGCGGAGTGCAGCTGAAGAGTCTGGACTCCTTCCTGCTGGAAACTGCTCTCAGGGACGGCGGTGCCTCCAGAGGTCAGGTCCTAAGATCAGGACAGAGACAAACTGGAAACTGGTCTCAAGTCCCAGGGAAAACACCTTCATAAGTCACCACACCCAGGAGCACCAGCCTTGCTAAGTCAACACCACTGGGTTTCCCTCCACTGCCACCTCAGATGGCTGTTTATCAAGCTCAGCAGTGATTTCAGGAACTGGTATGAGCCATAACTATTTTTACACCCAGAGTTGCCTCCTGGGGGGGAGGGGGAGAAGCAGAGGTCCTACTAGATCCTACTAGGGAGGTAGGAGGGATGAGACTTCTGTGTGGTCT